TATTTACTCTGTTTTCATTTTTGTATATTGTATTTGTTGTATCGGAAATTCATTAAATTATGATTTAAGAAAATATTAAAAAATTAAAATAGTTTCAAGACCTTAAAACTTCATTAAACAAATATGTAAGCAATTGAATGTAAGCTCATTAAATAAAGATAGACTTTACAATGGTCAAATAATACAATTATAGGGTGTTAGGTAATATATGCAAACATAAGAAAAAACATGTTAGTTTAATTTTCCAGTCAAAACTATTTTGCAAAACTTCTAATTTATCATGTTTAGACTTTTCCAAATTGCTTAATATCTTAGTATAAATATGTATAATTCAAGTTAGCTAATTTTGATCAAATTATTTATTAATTATCAAAGTAAACAGGAATTTGGAATAGATAAACTTCAAAAGGTTTTCATTAATAATTTAATTGAGGTTTCTTGTAAAAAATACATATTCGGAGAATTCAATATAATATATAATTCATTAGAGATTGAGTAAAATAAAATCTATTACTGCAATTTTAAGTATTAAAAGGAAATGCTTTCTGCATCAAAACCATTGCCATTCATATTCATTTTATAAGAAATGCATTCAAATTCATTATACGACCTATCACATGAATTTCATCATATGAAGTACTTCAAAGTAAAGATTGTTTATTTAGATAAATGGATGGAATTAATGAAAATTTTCTGACTTGTATTCACAGCGACGTTTCGAAGAATCCGTAAATAAACATTAATTTTCTTTTGAATAAAAATTTAAATACCCACAACGACCTTCATTATTTCGATATATTAAAAGTAGAATTGATTCAGGTAAATGCTTATTTTATGTATTTATTTTTTGCTCTAAAAGCTGATGAATCAAAAGAATTATTTTTCAAAATAGAAGTAAATGATGAGTGTCGTACTGAAATAGTATTTTCCGACATATTTATTCCCTTAATTCACTTTTACCTTGAAGATTTCTACTCTTACCGCACTTCAGCAGTAAATTTGAATAAGACCTTGTCCATTTTCTTTTACCTCTTATTTTCTAATTTATTAAATCAAGTACTTTTAATGATCATTTAAGCTTTCATTTTTGGCTAATAATTCTATTTAAAATTCAAAATTAATTGCCAACTGGAACTTCGAATAGCTAAATCATCGCCATTTGGCGGTATTCGAATTTGCCAATTTTCAAGGTTCATTTTTCAAGCAATTTCCGAGCATTTTCTACGAGCTTGGAATTTATTATTATCTGCTATGTTACATTTTCATTTTTACATCACATTACTTTTGCCTGCAGGACCAAGTGCTTACAATTTTATAAATTTTTACTGAAATCAACTGAGATATTAATATTCAATTATATTTTGGTTATTGCGTAATCACGGCATTTTCATCACTACACAAACCTAATAAAATCAGTGAAACATAGATTTACATTACTTATAAATTGGCTAAGTGCAGTTTTAATGCATCTTAAAACAGGCGTGAAAAACTCTCTTTTATAAAACAGTGCATTCAGGCTTGCCTTATAACTCGATAAAGAATATTTATTATTTGGTATTTAGACAAATATATATCTCTATTGAAAATATTTATAATTTCAAAAGGAGTACAATTCAACTTAATAATTAAAATATGTCTATGGACTCAAGTTGCAAATTTTAAAATTTTTAACCCTTTGACATTTTTAACCCATTTCTTTCCTGTAGCTCTAATTAAAAGCAGAAACATATTACTAATAACTAATAATGCTAGTAATAAATTGGAAAAAATAAGAACTAATGAATTGGAAAAAGTAGTCTAATAGTTACTAACAAAATCTGTTACATTGTTGGAATTATGTCTGTACTAAAATATAAATCCAAAAAAAATAGTTGGAAATTTTTTTTATTCATATTCAAACATTTACCAATAATTGATTTTGCACAGAAAAAAAATTACATTGAGGAATAACTGCATCTTTTAGATCTAAGTAAATGCAAGTTTGAAAAATTTATGTTTTGATCAGAGTCATCTTTGGAATATTTTACATTTAACGCAGAAAAACGCACTGGAGATTCAAGCTGTATTAACCATAAATTATTAAAATACTAAATATAATGTTTTATATTATTTCGACCTAAATTAATACGAAATAAGGAAAAAAAGTATGTGAAATATAAATATGTTTATTGAAAATTCTCGGTCGAAGGGCTAAATGGTAGACACAACTCTTATAGTTAGTTTCCTTGCTCTATTTTAAACACAGTTTAAACAGTTAGTACTTGAAAATAGTATACCTTCTAGCCTTTAATGAAAATTTAGTAAGATTATATTTCCAATAATCAGTGTAAAGATGCTTTGTCTTTTAAAAATGTATTTATTTATCATATATTAAATAACGGTAATTGAAAAGTTGAATATTAAATTTTGATTCTTGTTGTATCGATTTAATTCTTTTTATTAAATAATTGTCTTTTTCCTTACAATTATAAATTCTAAAGAAATAAAATTGAAGATTTCAGAGCAATATATATATATATANTGTAAATTACTATATATATATATATATAAAGGAGAACGTTCTTGAGACACTATGATTGTGATTCTCATGCAGGTAACAAGCTATTTCCATGTACAGCGTTACATACAAATGGAAATACAAGAAACTTGTGCAGTATTTATCAGGAAAAAAATACAAGAAGAGTTTAATTTAAAAATTTTATCTTTGTAGGAAAAAGTGTGACTTATTACTAAGTCACCACAAGACAAACGAGTATGTTTACACGTAATCCATAAGTTATCTTATGGATAAAAGAAAAATAGCTTATATTTTTTCCTTTATTGTTTTTGATCATAAATTAACACAGATTCAACTCTGTTCATAAATCAATTTCGATTTCAATGAACTCCTTTAAAGCACAAATATTATTTTTTTAACGTAGTTTACACACTCAAAATATATTTTCATTAAATTTATTTATCCTTGTCAGCATTCAGAAACTTGCACAGTACTTATAAAAAAAATGCAGGGAAAAGTGTGATTTGAAAATGTTATCTTTGGGAAAAAGAGTGTGACTTATTACTACATACCCACAAGCCTAACAAGTATTTGCATAGATAATCCGTGAGTTAGTATAAAATATTTTCAAATAAAAATAAGTCCTTTATTTTTAAAATATTGTATGTTTTCTATTATTGTTTTTGATCATATATCAACTCAGATTCAATTCTGATCATAAATCATCTTCGATTTTGATGAACTCCTTTAAAGCACAAATCTAAATTTTCTAATAAAATTTATACACACTAAATATGTTTTGACTAAGTTTTACTTTCTTGTCAGCATTCATGAAGTCTTAAATTTTTAAACTATAACCCAAACTATTAATATAATATTCCTTTACGAAAAAACAAGATAACGAAACTCTATTAGCAACTAAATCTTTCTCGAATTCGTAGGGTGATGTAATCTTCGAAAAATATGATCCAGACTTGAAGATATAGCGTGTGGTTACCATTCATCTTCCAAATAGTCGACTGAGTTTGAAGATAAGTTCGGATGGAGCAAATACGTGGACCACATTAACAGACCACGTGATCAACCCTTAAGTATCATCAGTATCCGGGTAAGAGTTGAGGGGCTAGGGCAGACTTTTGATGGATGTGATAGTGATAGAAGAGGAGGGTAAGGCACAGGGAAGAGGTAATTACTTGGCATTATCTGATCAATAATGTCCAAGAAAAGTAAAAAGGGGAGATAAAATGGCGATTTTTGATATCGGTAGTTATTGTCACAATAAAGTGTAATTCAGGAGGGTTGGTCAGGAGAAAATTGAGCTGAGTAAAGTGAAATTGATGATTGTGGTCAAAAGAGCGGGAATTAATACTCATAATCTGCGGAACCGATTCAAAAATGAATTTAGCTAAAAGCACTTGAAAATAATCAATTGCTCGATGGAAATTATTCATGGCGCAATTCATTTTGAATTTATTTTTAAATGTTGCGTTTTTTTCTTCTAAATTTTTAATTGAATCTATCATTTGTTTGTAAATTTAGTATAAAAAAACATGTCGATTATCAAAAGAGTACCTATTGCTGCTTTTAATCATTGGTCTTGTTGACTTATTCATTAATTATTGATTGTGTTGCTTTGGAATGACAGAAAAATATAATTCTAATCACAAAGTAAGTTATCAACTATTTTATGTAGTGTTTTCTCTTCGATGCAGCTGCATACAATACACTATTTTTTGAATGAAATTCTTTAAAAAAAATGCAAGGAAATAATCGGTACATTTTTTCTCAATATAAAATGCTCCTTCATCGCTCTGTGGGGAGAGTTGTTATCGACAATGTCAACCTTCATCTATGAAAAGGTACCCCAACATAGAATTGAGTTAACATGTCTTACATGCTAGTGAATTGCAATTATATTTTTGTAGTGGTAGATACACTACAGTACTCCCCCACCAGAATTATATTTGTGATAGAATTCGATGAACGGATATCACTAGTTGATTCATTGCTGTCTTCGCAAGAAGCCGGGAGAGCTGCATTAAGATCACCGTACTTTTTGCTGATCGTGAGAGCTGCATTAATTTCAGAGTCGGAATTGCCTCTGTGTTGCCATTAGCAGTAGAGTGTCTGCAGGCCGACGTTGTGTGTGATCGAAACTGAGTAGCAACAGTGCTAGGAGGTGGATAATGTCGCAGTCACAAGTCAACTGTTCAATCTGGACCATCCATCGAAGTAGGCGTTACTGCCAAGGTTGGCCTGTTCATATCACGTCCAGGTCACCAATGTGGAGAGAGTTGTTATCGACAATGTTAACCTTCATTAATGAAAAGGTACCCCACCATAGAATTGAGTTAACATGTCTTATATGCTAGTGAATTGGAATTATATTTTTGTAGTGGTATACTTTTTTTAGTAAAACGATGTTATGTGTAAAATATATCACTTGTTAATTTATTATATACAAATTATTTAATTACAAATTGATATAAATTCAATTACTTACCGCTTCCGTGTGAATGGGGTGGACGGCAAAGAGAGCTGATGATACAAGACTATTCGTTCCAGAAAAAAAATGCAGGCACAATCTAAAATAAATTTTTTAACCAGCATTAGTATTTTGAAGTTATATTTTGAATAGTCATTGACACCTTCGCACTTGTTAAATGTCCTTATATCGAAAATCATTTGAGCAAGTTAAACTATAACTCATAACATCAAAAGCATTATTTAATTAAATTATTCTGATATTGACTATAATAGCAAATGACAAAGGGTGCTAATGTTCACTATTGTATTTTTATTCGTTCCTCTAATCTACTGATAATTAAATATTGATAATTAAAAAAAATAATTGAAAATTTTTTTTCTTTTAAAATTATCAACACAATTATTTATAAATTATAATAAATAACTGAACGGATAATTTTTTTCATTCATTTGACAGTGCAGTTTAAAATTATTTTTAATGAAAAGATTTTTGAAGAAACATTTTTTTTTAAATGATTAACATTATTTTTTTCAATTTTAAGAATGTAAGATGAAAGTAAAATTGTAAAAATTTGTTTTCTACAAAATTTTTTCCCTAATTTATTAGATTATTACACTGAGAACAATAATCACTGTTGGTGTAAAAAAGCAGTTCTGGTTAATAAAACTACAATATACTGTATTTAAACCATTCATTTGGTAGCATTTCCATTTATAAGGCTTATATTCATAAGGTTAAATTATAGTTCTTATTACCACATATATGCTGAAAAATACAAAACTGAAAAAAGCAATTAAGCCAAATAAAGGAGTTTTTTGCCATGTTTTATATTTATCATGATAAAATTACCAAATTTTATCATATATTATAAAGTCATTTTGATATTTAATTTTACCGAAGTAATTACCACAGTGCTTCGGTAAACATTGCCGAGCTTCTTGATGTCCCCATAGAACCAGAAAAATGATAAACTTTACCATATTCTGGTAACTTTAACCATACTTTTTTTTAGTGTTCTATATATAGTGATTACCGAACCTATGAATTTTCTAACACAAAAAAATTCAGAGAAAATCTACCTTCATAACAGAACAAAGCTGTGATATTTGAACTTAATAACACCAAACTCAAAATTATACTCGAAAATATTTTCGATACATTGCGTTGCTGATTTAATAGCAAAAACCTTTCACCATAAAACAGTAAGTACCTTTTACCTGCTCCTCATATTAGTTTCCATCAAAGAAAGCAAAACAGTATTAGATCAGGAAAGAAAAAAGGAAGCAAATTTTCCAAATCTATTCAATTTTCTAGCAACTTATCTCATCCCAAAAAGTATGTACGGAAATAGCTCGTCAAAGGAACGAGAAAAAAAAATCGAACTGAATCCCACAAACTTTTATGGGAAATCACGAATCGATCTTATTGTCCTTCGTCGCATACCATTCAGAACTATTCTTCTAATAAAAGCGACCAATAACCGTCTTCTCTTTCATGTCTTTAGAACGTCTGCTCAATTTACGAAAATACCCTGAGTCGCAGGGCATTCCGCAAAAGGGGATTGCTCGAGTTTCAAAAGTGCAATCGATTCCATTTTTCCATCAACCAAAAGAGAAACACAAAATGGCGAGAAAGTTCGATTAATATGACCTCCCTAGAGCTAAACCAATGAATCCAATTCCCGCTATGAACCTTTAAACCAGAATCACCGTCTTTAATTCAAATGAGATGGAATGGGCTAGAATATTCATTACGAATGAGAGAATTACAAGAGTTAGGAATTACTTCGGGGCCGTTAGCGGTTGCTTGACATTTACTTTTAATTAGAACTTTTTGTTACGTTTAGATAAGATACTCTTGGTACTGTTTTAGTTAGAAGTTGCGGTTATTGTTAAAAATACACTGTATGGTTTGTTTCGCTACAAATTTAAAATGCATGCTTTGTGGAAACAATCCGGGAGATATTAAAGTAACTTTGAAAACAATGAAAGTATATTCCCTGATAGTATTTCTAAAACAATTTTTTATTCGAATGATAAATAACTCTACCACAAATCTTTTGATAACAAAATACATTCTTTTATTAAATAAAATTAATATTTAAAAAAAAATTCTATTGTATATTATTTGATTGAAAGATCGAATATCTATATAAATATGTTCTGATTATACACTGCAAAATGTTCCGGATCAAGTTACTGTCAAAAGTTCCAGCACTCAGGAAGCTTGTGCTTTTTTACCTTAAAATTCATTTTTACTGAAACATGTTGCGGAGCAAAAAATCTGGTATAACGTTATTTTTACAGTAATGAGTACCATGACATCACTGCATTACTCTAATTAAATCTATATTACTGTGATAAGTATGGTATAATATGTATAATATTTTGCCGTCAAATGGATTTTATGGATGATGCACCAAAAGTGCTAATTTGATCGTAATATGACCGGGAGCGTTTTACAGTGTAAATAAAATTTACCATCTGTATTATTTTTATAATTCGATGAATTGTTATAAGTACATGGTAAATTTTTTTTTATCTATTAATCATATAAAAGGTGAGATTATACCACATTTTATTTGAAAAAAATACCTGCAGAGCTGCCAGCAACTTGTGCAAAATATTTTTCAGAGTAATAGACAATCCAATGCAAATGTTTAAAAAGTTTGGTTGAATTAACCAACATTTTAACATCTTCATGAAAAAACTGCAACTAATAGCTTCTTATATAAACTTTTAAATCTTCTATTGAAGTGGAATTTGCTTATTTATCGTGTTTATTTATTTACCTTGCGTACTTGTTTAAGTGTTTACCGAAAGATAATTTCATACAAAATACAAGCTCTATTTTTTTAAAATTATTATTTTTTTAGTTTATTTCACTAACTAACGAGAAAGTACATAAATTTTTTAACCAGTATAATTTCATCTCAGCAGAATCGTCCGAATAGTGATTTTTGTAAAACAAATAAAATTTGAAACTTGAATATATATATATATGTAATACAACAATTAAATACTTTTGTATTAATAAAAGAATTAAAACTCTTTAGTTTTCATAAAATGTCTTTGTAAAAGAATAAGCGTAGAGAGATTCTATTTTGGGAATTCAAGGCTGAAAACATACCATTGAAATATAAATAGATTTATATTTCAAAGGAAGAGTTATTTTTAGAATCGTTCCCTTTTTCCCTTCCATATAAGGAAGCAGAAATGATTTTCCTTAATGCAATGCGTAAAGTTGCAAGGAATGTTCGAAGTGTGCCTTTTTACCTCAAATCTGTGTTGGTATAAAACGTAAGAACGCATAGTTTTGCGTGTCCTTTTCATCATCATGTGATCCTGATAAGCTGTTCCGGAATTGTCAGGAGTCTTGTCCACTCCCCCTCCTTTGCAGGAGTGGGGACGTGAACTGTTATCAATACCAGCCTACCTTTAAATATACCTGTTTAGAACGTCTGATGGCTTAAGACTGCATTATTTCAAGCTAAATACAACACCGATAACAGGGTTGTAGCCCTGTTATTACATATATATATATATATATATATATATACACCTTTGATAAGGCATTTCTTTCAAACAATTATGTATATAAATGTAATTGATTTTAAGACTTGAGACATATATGACAATTAATCTGAATAGAACTTTAAGCCATACTTAATTTATCTTGCACCAAATATCTGTATTATTCGCTAATAAATGAACTTAAATATTTGAGTAAGTACAAACATTGTAAACGTGAAAAGAGCTTACAAAATTTTGTATTAGGTAATCTGATTATGCTTCACCAACAGAATGCTCGCCTAAGTCATCAGTAATCATTCAACAGTTCAAATTTATGACAACTAAATAGAATTGTTAAAACCAGCTGGCTGGAGAAAGCGTATTCACAGTTTGGTAAGAGCAGGATTGAAAGTGCTTGGGGCCATTCTGTAGGGACGATAGTGAGTACATAGTAATTGTTAGCTGAGAGATTCATTTATTTCCAAATAATTGGAACTTGGACAAAATTACTATTTATAGTGGAAATTTTCGATTGATATTTAGAGAAATTATACCGGAATAAACAATGCAGTAATTACTGGATTATGTACCTTAATTTCTTGCTTTAATGAGTTAACCATGAGCTAAGCAGTAGTTTAGAAATCTCCTAAAAATTTAATTTTTTTCGACTTATATACATTTAAAAATAAAGGAATTCAATTGAAATAAATGATTGAATTTCATAATTCATTTATTGTAGTTTCATTACTAATCACCTGTATAGAGATATCTTCCACATTTAGGATAAATTAATTTTAAATAACTGTGGATCGAGGGTTATCGAGAATGCCAACCCTCATATAACAAAAGGTACTCCAAGATAAAATCGAGTTTATTGGTATTTAATAATTGTAAAGGTATAGTTTGTCTGAAATAAGAACTCCCCCAGGCATTGAACCTGTGGCGGTAACTATGGTAACGAGTTATAACTAAGTAGGGATGTGGGGTTACTGTTTTGAAGTAGTTTCGGCTCGGGTTGGCGTGATAACGGGAATCTCTTTCTTCGGTCTATTGTGTTATTCCTAGAGGGAAGCTACGGTCCCTAAAGTGCGCCATTCTTGTTTCTATAGCACCAGACGGCCTCAGACTTTGTGGCGGAAGGAGTTCTTAGCTTAGACAAACTATAGCTACGCTGCATTACTCCCAGACCAGAATTTTATCCATGATAGCATTTGATGAACGGATACCACTAGTTGATTCATTGCTGCTTTTGCGAGAGGCCGGGTAAGCTGTATTAACATCACCGGGCCTTAAGTGATGGTACTGGTAATGAGAGCTGTATTTGGGTAGCGGTTGTGGACGTAGTTTTTGTTGTGTTGCAAATAGCAGTCGAGTGTGTACAAACTCCTGTTGTGTGTGTAACCGAAACTGAGTAGAAACGGGGTGCGGAGGACAGTGTGGCAGTTACAGATAGCAAGTTCACGGTTACAAAGTTCACTATGACTCATTCATAGAACTATGTGTTTTCATATCAAAGTTGGCGTTTCAGTTGAGGTAGGCGTATTGATCAAAGCAGGATTTAATTCATGTCCGCAAATCATCCATG